TATATATTTTATCCATTTTCAGCAGAAAATTACTCAAACTTAGTCAGAATCATCTTGGGTGAATGAGAGTATTACTTTTTAAAATTGGGATTCCTGCCCCATCCCCAGGGGCTAGGGCGGGGCCCCAAAGGGAACATTTACCAATATTTTCAAATTCTTATCCATTGATGACATGACAAGTATTGTATTTCACTTAGTTTACATGCTGATTTCCACATCATATCTAAACAATAAAATAAAGCTACCAGTACCTATGATATAACTCAGGTGACCGCTAAGGCCCTTGGGCCTCTTGTCTTAAGTGTTGTTTGATTTAATAAAACTTGATAAGGATGTACAATATACAAAGTCTAAGGTTATGTTGATAAAATTTGAGCCAAATCTGTTCATGATTAAAATTAGCTTATTGCACTCGATTGGTTAGCAGTTTTGGCATGATAACATTCATAAATTTAACTGGTTTCTGATGAAACTTTATCAATATTAATATTACACTAAGACAAAGGTTAAGTTTGAAGTAAAATAAATTCTATGCATGGAATTCTTGTTTCCACCAATGTATTCCGACTAAGCAATATAAGCTTATTGGTCAATGATGAATGTTTGCAGGGTAGTAGGGCTGTGGAGGGAGCAGCTGTCGAAGGTGAATCAGAAGGCCGCTAGTTCCCTGGCTGATCCTGCAGAGTATGAAAACCTGTTTCCAGGTCTTAAGGATGCTTTAAAGACGGAACAATATCTTAAGCCACAACGATCCCAACTTCTTCCCGCCAACAGCTACCCAAGTGTCCCAGTAAGTGGCAACCTCGACAGGATATATCCCAATACAGAATTGTCATTCACATACAATGCCTTATTTATATTCTAACAAGTTATTTCTATGTGTATAAATATATTAAGCACTTCATGGATTATCATTTCACTGAAACATTGGTGCATTAAACAATAATTGAAAGTATGTTTTTCTAGATTCTAGTCAACATTTTGAACACATGGATTAAGACTTGTTAGAAATATCTTTCGCATACATGCAAAATATATATCAGTTTGACAAATGACCAATCAGAAACATTTATCTGTGAAATACCTGACCCCTACAAATATTGGTATTGGCCTAATTCATAAAAACATATATATAATTATCATATGAATATCGTGTTATGCAGTGTTATAAAGCCATTACATTACACAATGTGCCATCACGTCATTGTGAAGCAGACGCAATTTTCATTGTTTCAGAGGTGACCAAGTGCAAAATATTCGTTTCAGATCACAATTATACAGTTTATTTGTATTATATGATAAAAAGAATCTGTCATTCGTTTCCCTTCATATCAGATTTATGATACTCGTTTTGGAATTTTCATATTTGCTCGCCAGAGACTCACAAACAAGAAAAAATCAAAACTTGTATCATAAATCTAATATGAAGGGAAACTTATGACAGATCCTCTATAATTAAATGAGCTACCATTAAAATCCACAATTTACTGCTGAATTTCAAAATCTTTTAAAAAAAGTAAATAGCTGTGATGCAGCAATAAAACAATTGATAGTGTATTGTAATAGATGATCTAATACTAAATCATTACAAAACACAGTTTGGACAATTAAGTGCCTCCCTCCTCACCTTTATGAGGGCTATAAAGGGCCTCCTCCTCCATCATTTTTCGAAAAAAAATTGGCCTGAGAAACTAAAAATGAACTTTGTAGGCCTTATCATGCAGTATTTCTAACTAACATACTCAGGCACTTATTTTGACCTGAAATATTAAAGAACTATTAGTTTTTCTGATTTGAAAGAAAATGTGGTTGATATAAAACGTAACCATCATTATTAAAACACCAGGATGAGGACAGTTTATATATATATTGTAGCCCAACACCGGTCGTGTACCAGTTGATGAGATGAATCAGGCTGAAGAAAGAGGAGCATTCCATTTCTCACCCAACGGGGTGCAGGATGAGGATGAGGAGTTTGAGGAAGCCTCAGCACCTGTGCCACAGGTAACACATCACCAATCAGAATTTAGTTATCCAGCTCCTTTGAAGCACACCTGACAGCAAAAAAATTAAGGTGTCTCAGCTACTCGTATTTAACAAAGTGAAACAAGTTAAACCAAACTTGGTTGGAAGTTATTAGTTTGGGAATCAAATCAAGACTTGTTCAAAAGAAGGGAGCAATGAGTCCTGTAAGCCCTTGGCTACTAGCCGAGATATTTCAGGGTAGAACTTTTGTTTTAATTTAATGATATACTTAATACTTCTGTTCATTCTTGATGGATGTGTTTCAGACAAGATTCATGCACTATCAGGTCAAGGAATTGGAAAGTCTCTATTTACAGAAGGCATTAATGGCAATAATTTGACAGATTTTGTTCACTCTTTGTTATAAACAAACCATAGGTGGTATGATTTTGATGAGACAACCAACATTTTTGAGTTTCAGAATTGAAGATTTATTCTGTGGCCTCAACTAAGTAATAGTAGTCTGATCAAAATGAAACTTGGTGTATGTGTAAACTTGTATTCTTTCAATTGCATATTAGTTAATTTGTGGGATGACTGTTTCTAAGTTCCATTTCCATTTTAGCACTTGTACAATAATGTTCTGATTATCTGGCAAATTGACTGTATCGCTTCGGATTAAATCTTCTGCTTAGGAACAATAATAAATGTTTCCATGTTTCATATAGCAGAAGCCAGTCGAGGCAAAAGTAGAAGAATCATCAGAGCCACAATCTGACACTCCCACACAAGATGGACAAATATCAAGTGCAGACATGGCTGACATTGAACAGGAGTTAGAGCTGGACCTCGAAAACCTAAACATAGATAACATAGACACTCTGGTAAGTAACTATCGATAATAAAAGAACCTAATGCTTATATTTACTACTTGAAATTACTAATTTTATGATAAATAATCTTTAATTGTATCATACTAGCCTCATATGTTGGGATGGGAAGTGACAAAACCCGTAACATCCATCACGACATGCAGACATTAATGATTAGTTTCCATAACTTCAGATCTTGGTCTCATTTTCATTGCTTTAGCGTTTTCACTGTGTGATTTTTTTGCTGATTCTTTAGTTACTGTTTTATTTCTTCAGACCTGTTTTGCTGTTTGATATTTAATATTACTTAATTTGGTGCTTTGTTTTGAATTAATCACCAAATAAAAACAAACAATGAACTACTCTCCTTGTAGGAAGTAGATGACAAAGAAATAAATGAGGAGGTAAGCGGATCAGTGTGTGATTTATCTATGTGTATCATTGCTTTAGTTTTGGTTTTAAGGTGCTTTTTGTTTCTGAATGCCTTAGTTACATTACTGCATCTCACCATTGATCAAACATTAGAAGCATGTCATTATAACAATTTGTCAAACATTTTTATTCTAACTTTTCCAAAAATAACTGGCCAGTGACAAAATGTCTTAGTTTGATGGACCAGAGACAATGATGAGAGAAAAATATCTAGCCGTTAAAAAAGGGGAGAAAAACATTAATTCTGACAGACATATTTTTTTTTCTTTATCGCATTAAAACGGAAATCTCACTTGCTATACAAGAATGTAAAATATAACAATCATTTCCAAAACATAAACATTTTATATATGAACTGAAACAAGAGTACTATTTCTAAATTGTTCAAACAATAGTATATTCTTAAAAATCCTAAGTTGAGTGCTATGGTTTTTGCTCTTCAATCACGGTGGATATACATGGTAAAGACTCACAAAGGGGCTCTTGCTGACCTGTCTGTGTACTTGTCAGTAGTCATGATGCATGTAGGTGTATGTTACTTATATCAGAAGGTTTAGGTTTCTTACAAGTAGTTCCAAAATAACATGATTGTTACTAACAAAAGAATTGGTGTTACTAGGTTTATGCTGGCTAACATGTAGTTCCTATATGTGTACGAGCGGATGTAGGATAGGGATATTCCACATATTAACTCATTCACCCCTGAAGACACATTTAGCCTCTTCCAATTCAAAGGTTGGAATAGTTCATAACAGAATTACAGAATAACCTCTTCATATAAAAACCTAAATGGTGATTTTCTCTGATTCCAATTTCCAGAATTAACTCAGAAGATGTTAAACAGCGTTTTGACTATATATAGCTAGCTACTATTTTGAAAATTCAGTTGTTTTTTTCCCGACCTATTTGAACAAAAACAGGGAGTGACACACTGACCAGTGGGAACACATCCAATAGGGAATCAAACCTAACCGTCTTGGTTAAAGGCAAGAGTACTATCAACTGTGCCAACGCCCCATGTATTAGTGTTAGTGAGGCTAACACATCCAATAGGGAATCAAACCTAACCGTCTTGGTCAAAGGCAAGAGCGCTATCAACTGTGCCAACGCCCCATGTATTAGCGTTAGTGAGGCTAACACATCCAATAGGGAATCAAACCTAACCGTCTTGGTCAAAGGCAAGAGCGCTATCAACTGTGCCAACGCCCCATGTATTAGCGTTAGTGAGGCTAACACATCCAATAGGGAATCAAACCTAACCGTCTTGGTCAAAGGCAAGAGCGCTATCAACTGTGCCAACGCCCCATGTATTAGCGTTAGTGAGGCTAACACATCCAATAGGGAATCAACCCTAACCGTCTTGGTTAAAGGCAAGAGCGCTATCAACTGTGTCAACGCCCCATGTATAAGTGTTAGTCAGGCTAACACATCCAATAGGGAATCAAACCTAACCATCTTGGTTAAAGGCAAGAGCGCTATCAACTGTGTCAACGACCCATGTATAAGTGTTAGTGAGGCTAACACATCCAATAGGGAATCAAACCTAACCGTCTTGGTTAAAGGCAAGAGCGCTATCAACTGTGTCAACGACCCATGTAACAATAAAACATGGGTCGTTGGCACAGTTGATAGCGCTCTTGCCTATAACCAAGACGGTTAGGTATTGATTCCCTATTGGATGTGTTCCCACTGGTCGGTGTGTCACTTCAGGTGTCCTCCTTATAATTCACTTAAATTCAACTCATATCCGGTTCATTTGGTATGAAAGTTCTGAGAGTTTTATTCATGTGTAATAATGCTGTTTCAATATCCAACATCGGATGTTTAGTGTGAAAGTTTGGTGAGGGTGCATACAATTTAGCAGTCCCATATTCAATTAGCTAGTGGTGTACTTTAATGCTGATTTATAATATGTTGGTGGCAATGGGATGTTTTGTATGAATGTCTGGTAATTTGAGAACCTTGTACTGTTTATTAAACCTTAACTAAATTAGCTAGCAGTATACTAAATATTAATAACAAAATGGTAAAAGAATTTATGACAACAGAATTTAATCCGAATAATGTGTATATCTAACATGAACAGTTTGTGACTTGAATGAAATTAAATCAAATGCTTACTCACAAGAAAAACATGGCATTTTTTGATAATAAGATATAGCCAGATGTAGTTTTAAATGGCTAAATAACACTGTTGTGTTGTAATATACTTAGTAATGATTAAGAACTTGTTTCTAATTTCCATTTTCATCATAAACATATATGTATATTTTGATTATAACATTTATTATAAATCTTTTTTTTGTTTGTTAATTATTTCATAAGTTTAAACCTACTGTTTAGAAGTTTTTAGCAGTATTAATCTCTTAAAGAAATGTCTTGATATATAGATGGTTCTTTATTCTCCTGTTACGTGGTGTTTACACCAGATTCTAATGTATACATGAGTTATGTTATACTCAATTGTAATGTATGATTAAACTGGTGGTGAGTAACACTTACATTGTTATGTATACTAACCCTTGATTATTCCTAGCGTGACAGCTGGTGACGCACACCTGCGATCATTCTAGATTAGCCGTCTGTATCTGTTACAAATATCAATAACATTTATCCTGAAAGCGTATTTGCATTTTACAGATAGTTTTTCTTACAATGACAGCAGCATGGCCTGATAAATATACTGCATTGAGACAATATATATTGTTGACTAGTGAGGATTCCCCTTCAAAAAGATATTGATGAATTCCCCTTCAATAAGATATTGACTAATCCCCCTTCAACAAGATATTGACTAATTCCCCTTCAATAAGATATTGACTAATTCCCCTTCAACAAGATATGGACTAGTTCCCTTTCAACAAAATATGGACTAATTCCCTTTCAACAAGGTTTTGACTAATTCCCCTTCAACAAGATATCGACTAATTCCTGTTAAATAAGATATTGATGAATTCCCCTTCAACAAAATATTGACTAATTCCCTTTCAACAATATATTGACTAATTCCCATTCAACAAAATATTGACCAATTCCCTTTTAACTAGATATTGACTATAAATTTCCCATCAACAAGATATTGGCTAATTCCCCTTCAACAAGATATTGATGAATTCCCCTTCAACAAGGTATTGACTAATTCCTGTGACTTATCCCCCTTAATATGAACAGAAGTATAAATTGAAAGTCTGAAGTTAGTGCTTGTGTTTAGCCTGAAAACTTGTTAGTTAAACAATATTAAAACAGAGTTTGATTGTAAAAATGGAGTTTTTCTTTTTCTTTTTCTAGGATGTGAATTTGGATGAAGAGTTTCTTGAAGATTGAGGGAGTTATAGGGATCCTGTATATACAAGCAGTGTGATATATAAAGACTGGGAACAAGGCAATGCATACATGCAGGGATAATATCTAAAGAACTCGGATTCAGCAAAATCAATCTCCCATCATTTGAATGCATGGTTATCAGAGGATCTGTGGAACAATGAATTAGTACTGTGACAAATATCCTTTGAAGATGGAAATGTTGATGTACTTGACTTTAATGTAACTGGAATGTGTATATGTCTGCAAACCAGACTCTACCTTTTATGGCATTGTCAAATATATTTCCAGAAATCATGAACTTTCACCCTAACATCACACTAGAAATGAAATAGCATATTTTTTCCATTTCATGTTTTATCTGTTTGTAAGAAAACCATGTGATTTCAGATACTGATGAAAAAAAGACAGAAATATTTTACACTGACTATATTGCTATCTAGATCCTCGATACTGGTATCATTAATGTCTTAGCTTGTCATGTTGTTTATCATTTTTAAATACACTCAGCTTATTAACAAGAATTTTCCAATCAGACCTACTGAAAGTAGTGTGTACAGATGTGAGTCAGATACATAAAAATATCAGGATGATTCTGACGTTACAATCTTGTGTCAGTTATTCACAACATCGTGACTGGTTAGGTCTGTATCTAAGAGCAGCAACCAGCTGTATGCCATTGAATTATTAATATCTAAATTATATCTTAAAATACAAAAAAAGTATAGAGATATTCACTACAGAGAAAGATCTACTGCTACGAACGATTTTATATTATTTATTTCAATTTTGTTTTGTATTTTTGTTGCATGATACAGCAAATTACTGATTGTGAGAGGACTGCCTATATAAGAGCTCCTATTTTGCTGGTGTCAAAATTCTGTTATTGGAACAAATATGTTATGTTAAATTTTCAGAAAACTCTTCCTTCATTTTGTGTAAACAAATTTTGGCTACAAAACCCTTCCTTCATTTTGTGTAAACAAATTTAGGCTACAAAACCCAAACAAGTAAAATAAGTGCTATAGGTGCTATGTATATATACAGTGGAGTGAGACTATCTCCTAGTTGCTCTACTTGTCACTGATGGTGACTTCATGTTCAGGAGGCACGGTAGTCTAGTGGTAGGACGCCGGGCTCGTGACCGAAGGGTCGCGGGTTTGAGTCACGGCACGGCACTGTGTTGTATCTTTGAGCAAGATACTTTACTCTGCTTGTTCCAGTCTACTCGGCTGTAAATGAGTATGTGGTTGGGCAGTGCTAGAACTGTTTAATGCTAGCTGTGAGCTCTGAAATGGCAGCACCGGCTGTATGCTCCCCAGGGAGTTGAGAAAGTTATTGGCTGGTTGCAAAGGCCCTATAACCACGGAAAATAATTTGTGAACTGCTTTGAGACGCCCTACCAACTAGGTTGTGATAAAGTGGTATATAAGAACCTCGAATTATTATTATAATTATTATTATTACTACACATGGAACAGTACAGTGGATCAGTGTGATAGGAGCCCAATTTATATATGCTGGCACGGATATGCTTACTGTCAATCACCTTTTATTTGTGAGTTTCCGAAAGATGTGATTGATGTCAGTTGTGTTTGTTGCATGATACTGCAAATAACATTTTCAGTCTGTTACAGTCAGCTGATGAATTTATTTATAATTGTTTGAAGGGTGAAAATGTGTGAACATAAACATTTTCTTTTATTATAATATCATATTTCTTTTTGTGCTTCAATGATATGGGCACTTAGTGTCAGAGTATCACCTGAATGGCTAATAAAATTGATTTTCTTTTTGTAAGCAGTTGCAATTTGGGGAAAAAAAGACGTCAATATGTTAAGAGGCTTAAAAAGGTGAAAATCTTTGAAAAATTACATGTTTCAAGGCTTCACAATTTCACAGTAACAAAGCTATAAATAAACAACGTTTTACTGTGTCAGTTGTGAAAATAATGTGTGATGATTCTCTTATAGCATGTATGTGTATGGATGGAGAAGTACAGATATATATAATGTAAAGGTCAGGGAGTAGATGTATGGATGAATAAACACTAAAAAATATAAATTCTTTTCATTTATTCTTTCATCTGTTTATGATGTGTGTGGGAAGCAGCATTTATATGTAGATTCTAGACTTGTCACAACCAAACTGACTGTGTTAAACTTGCAGGAGATGTTCTACCTTATGGAGAGCTTTCTTAAAAGGTTTCATTAATGTTACCTAACAACTTGTTTGTACCCATTCTTGTTGGACATGAAGAGATGACCAGACTCATGCTACCAGGATTAGCTCCAGGCCCCACAGAGTCTTATTTGAAATTTAAATTCTATGACAATATATCAATATTGTACATATTCCCTCAAAGTAAAAGAAATATCAGCACAAACTGATGTCCAAAGCATCATCATCTGCACAAAAAGCCTTGATATTCACTTTAGTCCCTCCCCCCAACTTCCATTTCTAAACTCGCTTTCCTCAAGATCATTAAAAGTCAACATAAACTGTACAATGTATTTACAGTCTTTTATTTCACTTATCCTTTTTCATGGAAAAATGGACAGATTGGACATAGAGAAAATAGCCAATGTACAAATGTAATAACGTTTCAGGGACATAACAAAAGAACAATGATATACAAGCACAGTTGTACAAATACATGATTTATTATACAAGGTTTTTACAATACTTATTGCTTATGCATGTATTGACATCAGCAAAACACAGTTAGGTTAAAGTTTGTTGGTAAAGTTAACAACACAAATCTGAAACAAGATTTAATCTCAAAATGGCGAGTTTGTTTAAGGAGTATTTTATGAACTCTTATATTTTAATCTGAAATCATGTTCACGATGAAAAATCAAAATCAAACTGAAGTAGAAATATACAGATTTTCTTTGTACAGTGCTTAAACGGACGTTCTAGATAATTTTACATATCCTGATAAACATATCTTGACAACCTATACATTTCGTATAGTGTTAAAAGTTTCAACAAAATATAACTAACACATCAAATAGCGTTCAAAGGAAACGTTATAAGAAAAGCGCTCCCCACCCGGAAGATATAACTGATATAACTAGGAGGCTAACGTCGTCTTTATCATTTTTAGCTCACCTGGCGTCAATATTTTACTTTAAAACGACTTCTGAATAACCAAAATTCCCAGGGTGATGATATTTGGCCAGAAGCAAACTGGGATGAAGGGCTACCAAGTTTGTTCAAATAAATGACCTTCACCCATTTTCAAGGTCACAGGGGTCAAATGTCTTAAAATCTTTAAACAACTTCTCAATAACCGAAAGGCCCAGGGTACTGATATTAGGCCTGTAGCATGCTGGGATGAAGGGCTACACAGTTTGTTCAAATGAATGACCTTGACCAACTTTCAAGGTGACAGGGGTCAAATGTCTTAAAATCTTCAAACAACTTCTTCTCAATAACCGAAAGGCCCAGTGTACTTATATTGGGCCTGTATCATGCTGGGTGAAGGGCTACCAAGTTTGTTCAAATGAATGACCTTGACCCACTTTCAAGGTCACAGGGATCAAATGTCTTAAAATCTTTAAACAACTTCTTCGCAATAACCGAAAGGCCCAGGGAACTGATATTAGGCCTGTAGCATGCTGGGATGAAGGGCTACCAAGTTTGTTCAAATGAATGAACTTGACCCACTTTCAAGGTCACAGGGATCAAATGTCTTAAAATCTTGAAACAACTTCTCAACCAAATGCCCAGGGTACTGATATTAGGCCTGTAGCTTGCTGGGATGAAGGACTACACAGTTTGTTCAAATGAATGACCTTGACCAACTTTCAAGGTGACAGGGGTCAAATGTCTTAAAATCTTCTAACAACTTCTTCTCAATAACCGAAAGGCCCAGTGTACTTATATTCGGCCTGTAGCATACTGGGTTGAAGGGCTACCAAGTTTGTTCAAATGAATGACCTTGACCCACTTTCAAGGTCAAAGGGGTCAATTGTCTTAAAATCTTCAAACAACTTCTCAATAACCGAAAGGCCCAGTGTACTTATATTGGGCCTGTAGCATGCTTGGTTTTTGAAGGGCTACCAAGTTTGTTCAAATGAATGACCTTGACCCACTTTCAAGGTCACAGGGGTCAAATGTCTTAAATTCTTCAAACAACTTCTTCTCAATAACCGAAATGCCCAGTTTTCTGATATTGGGCCTGTAGCATGCTGGGATGAAGGACTACCAAGTTTGTTCAAATGAATGGCCTTGACCCACTTTCAAGGTCACAGGGATCAAATGTCCTAAAATCTTTAAACAACTTCTTCTCAATAACCGAAAGGCCCAGGGTACTGCTATTAGGCCTGTAGCATGATGAGGTGAAGGGTTACCAAGTTTGTTTAAATGGATGACCTTGACCCACTTTCAAGGTGACTGGGGTTAGATGTCTTAAAATCTTCAAACAACTTCTTCTCAATAAACAAAAGGCCCAGGGTACTGATATTAAACCTGTAGCATGCTGGGATGAAGGGCTACCAAGTTTGTTCAAATGAATGACCTTGACCAATTTTCAAGGTGACAGGGGTCAAATGTCTTGAAATCTTCAAACAACTTCTCAATAACCAAAAGGCCCAGTGTACTGATATTGGGCCTGTAGCATCCTAGGATGAAGGACTACCAAGTGTGTTCAAATGAATGACCTTGACCCACTTTCAAGGTCACAGGGGTCAACTGTCGTAAAGTCTGCAAGCGACTTCTTCTCAATAACGAAAATGCCCAGGGTACTGACATTGGGCCTGTAGCATGCTGGGATGAATGACTATCAAGGTCACAGGCGTCATTTGTTTAAATCTTTTAATAGGTTCTTATGAAATCTTGAAAACAAGTGTGAGATAAATACCAGGTGAGCGATGCAGGCCCATTGGGCCTCTTGTTTATGAATAAGGGCGAATTTCTTAATATAGCTAGTTTTACATAAAAGGTAATATCAGAGATGTATATATACGTCTCTGGTAATAGTATGCGTCGCAGTTGTAGTAAACGAGTCCGGGTATTAGATTTATATAAAGCGTAATATATAAGCATAGCACCTGTCATGTAACAAATAAATGTACCTGAAATTTCCAGTCTTTTATTAAAATGAAAATGGAAACATCTATAAATGCAGGGTCCGCTTATATGAATTATAAGTTGACAAGGGTCTTAACTCTATTTTTATGTACGCAAGAGAGAAAAAAATAATATCTTGTAACGTAAGATCATACTTGACAGCCCAACGGTGACGTTAAAATACTGTCAAAGATATATCCAGTCTTCTAACATCACTATAGATAGTGAGCATACGTCATGGCAACACTTAGCGGTACCGCGAGGAAAACAGAAGATGGCCGAGACCCAGAGTTTCCAACCTAATTCTTCTGTTTATTATTGGTCGGTGATTCTAAAATAAATAAATAAATAAGCACATAAAAACAAAACGTAAAATAAGGACATAAAAACAAAACGTAAAATAAGCACATAAAAACAAAACGTAAAATAAGCACATAAAAACAAAAAGTAAAATAAGCACATAAAAACAAAACAAAACGTAAAATAAGCACATAAAAACAAAAAAGAACGCATGCGTACACTTCAGACACTTATTCGTTCTAAAGACGTTGCGCTGAATCATTTATTGTGTCAAAAATAATGGAAAAAATACCTTTGGTTACATGAATTTAACTAAAACCTATAGTCGGTACATCACCAGGAAAGTAATGTTGGTTACGTAAATTTATCTAAAACCTATAGTCGGTACATCACCAGAAAAGTAATGTTGGTTACGTAAATTTAACTAAAACCTATAGTCGGTACATCACCAGAAAAGTAATGTTGGTTATGTTGGTTACGTAAATTTATCTAAAACCTATAGTCGGTACATCACCAGAAAAAGTAATGTTGGGTACGTAAATTTAACTAATACCAAAAGTTGGTAGATCACCAGAAAAGTAATGTTGGTTACGTAAATTTAACTAAAACCTATAGTTGGTTGATCACCAGAAAAGTAATGTTGGTTACGTAAATTTAACTAAAACCTATAAATGGTAGATCACCAGAAAAGTAATGTTGGTTACGTAAAATTAACCAAAACCTATAGTTTGTACACCATTAGAAAAAGGAAGTTTAGTCACATAAATTTAATTAAAATATACATTCAGAAGATCACAAGAAAAAGTTATAGTTTATATACATAAATTTAGCTAAAACTTGCAATTGGTTAATCACTAGAAAAAGTAATTTTTGTTACATTATGAAACTTACAATCGATAGAGCATCGACTAGCACTGACAATCGTAGCCTCTGAGATATATATTATATATAAACAAAATCTACAATCAACAAAGCACTATATATAATTACACGTAACCACAGCTTACAAATGCCTTTTCATGTCCTTTAATCGTAAACAGATATAAACTGTTGGCATATAAACGATATATCTCTGTGGTGTGACGATATGTTCCTGTGGTGTGACGATATGTTCCTGTGGTGTGACGATATGTTCCTGTGGTAATAAGTTGCATAACAATAATGGTATATTACTGTGATAATATGTGGTAAAACAAAACATTCCTTTGGTGGCAGTTTGCGGTATAATAACATGTAATTGTGGAAGTTTGCGGTATAATAACATGTAATTGTGGTAGTTTGCATTATAGAAATATGTTTTTGTGGTTGTGAACGGTTAACAATGTTTCTATTGTATTATAAGGTATAACAAAATGTTATTGTGGTAGGTTGTGGTATGATGATATGTTATTGTGGTAGTGCGGTATACTAATATGTTTTGTGGTAGTGCGGTATACTAATATGTTATTGTGGTAAGTTGTGGTATACTTATATGTTATTGTGGTAGTTTGTGGTATACTAATATGTTATTGAGGTAGGTTTCGGTATAATGATACGTTATTGTGGTAGTGCGGTATACTGATTTGTTATTGTGGTAAGTTGTGGTATACTTATATGTTATTGTGGCAGGGTGCAGTATAATAATATGATATTGTGGTAGGTTTCGGTATAATGATACGTTATTGTGGTAGTGCGGTATACTGATTTGT